ATACCCTGCCTTCGTCTTCCCATTCACTGCAATCTCCGGAATCATCAGAGCTGCTGCCAGAATCATCTCCTGTTCCGTGCATCGTATGTATGCGTGCTGAGTTGCTTAGTTCATGTACCATACACACAAGACACACCCGCGACATGTGTGAAATGGCCTGCGGGTGGGGTCTTCGGCGACGCTGCTACGACAGCGTCACTGGCATTCTTCTGATCCGATAGATGCTCGCCTGCGACATGCTCATGATGAGGACACGACTGTTCCGACATATCAAACGTGCCTAAGCGGAGGGTGCGCTGGCTGTCGTTGTCGTCGTCGTCTGAGTCTGCGCCGCCTATGGTACAAGGAGGGTATGGTATCCTACATCTATGTTTCACTATAGATATAAATAATTGCATGGCATAGCTATGAGAATCCCGGGCTTGGTTTACGATTCACGAGTGGCTCCAGGACCAGGAGATCACGGTAGCAACTGAGTTCAAATTCAACAGTTTAGAACTATATAAGGACTAAATAACGAATGTTCGAAGTTGCACACTCTACACGACACAAAGAAGTTGAGATAATTTACAGCAGAAGCCAGAAAGTTGGAACATCATTATCCTCATGCCCTTAAGGTAAAGTATACGGGATCCTAGCACTAATCCTCCTAAAGTCATGTTCCAACTTTTTGGCTTCTACAATAGTTTCCGACCACTACACATCTGAAAGATAAGACTGTAGGTCCCCATGACAACCCATTTGGCAAATTTCTGCGTAGGCCCAACTGCGATGTACGAAGTCCATACGTATCTTGCAACTAGTAACACTATAAACCTAATTCCTTTCAAATTGCACCTCGCACTGACTAGTCAATAGTAATGACAGGAAGGAGCTGGGAGCTGATTTGAGGTTTATGGTGGTCCACAACCTCTATAGCTCGCCAAGATGCCTGTACTCGGACCCCAAGTGTAGCACAAACCAAGCTACAAAACCCTACCCATCACTCGAACCGTCCATCACACCTTGCGTGGAATCTGAATCGTCGTCCGATGGAGCTGGCCCGGCTGCACCTGCCACGACAAGTTTAATTAAGGGCGTCTACAGCTATAGAGTCACATGCCGGGACATGAAGAGATTAGAAGATATTACAAAGTCTTTGTGCATCTGGAGTGTGCCTCTGGAGCTTACGGTGTCAGGGGTTTAAGGGTTCACGGGCGTGCGTTTTTTGGGCTACGTGGCTTTTTGGGCTACGACTCTAGAAAGCTTTTCAAACGCTTTTTAGCTTGTCTTTATCAAGCATCGATAAGGGGCGTACATCCGTCGAGGTCTTGTTTCCAGAGAATATATGTTGTAGAACGATGAGAGTATAGTTAGGGGTGTGTAAGTCCTGCAAAGAGAAGCTATACCGTAGAACCGTCAATGCTTCAATTATGTATGTAACATGAAACTGCGAGTCAAACCTAATCAATAAACCCTAGAATCAGACCCCGAACCTTCTCTCTCAAACCGAGAATGACAAGCTACCGGAGCCCTGAGCCCTAAAACCCTTTAACCTTCAAGGGTTTCGCCTCGGCAGTTCAAAGCGTCCGCACGCTCGGCTGCCAGGCCTGCAAAAGGAATCCACACAGTTTGTTGAATTTAACAGCGGAAGATGCAGTTGCGCTGCGTGCAAGAAAACGGGGAGCCTTTCTCGTGCTCGTCGGGCACTTCGGTGTCGTCGGTGTAGCCCGAGTAGCCTGCGTGGACAACTCATGGTAGCGGAGAATCGAAGCACACCCGTGCAATGACTCATGTATGTCAAGTTATGCACGTACCTTCTCTTGCATCATCCACCGGGCTCCCTTCCTGACCAAGGCAACTAGAGGTACTTCAGAAATCTATCCTGGGGCTTACAAGGATTGGCCTCTTGCGAAACGTCCGGGTCTTCAGTGCCCGACGAGGATTCAGCCGACTCCTCGTCGGAATCTCCATCACCCTCGCCTGCCAATGCGACTTATACAGGGTTTTCAGCGTTTCACGTGCGCAGTCACACCGCAGCGTACCTTGGCCCAAAGCACAGCGAATGTCATGCACGGGGCGAGGTGCAGGTGCATCAGAATCAGAAGACCTCTCTTCGTCCGACCCGGCTGGAGCAACAGCTGCGGCTTCGGGATCCTGTCGCTTGCGCGCTGGAGACTTTGTCAGAAGTTCTTTGAGGCGGGCCACTCGGTGATCAGTGGAAGTCGGACCTAGGTATTACACTGCTACAGTCCTCGAAAAGATCGCCCATAGCACACTGCTGCACAGCAAGGAGCAACCGTTCAAGATTTGCATCCTTGTTGCCATTCCTGAAAAGGTAGCGCAACGATCCCATCAGCTTCTTGAGGCGCTTCGCCTCTTTGCCAGCGTGGTCCACAACTGAGTCATCGTGCTTGGGGTTCACCAAGCCCTTATTGAACTTCTCGTTCAATCTCAGCCAAACATCGGTCAGCAAGAAACCCGACGGCACCTTTGCACCAGGCAAAGCAGTTCTCATGAAGAAACTTTTCGCAGAGTTGCAAGCAGGCAACTCGATCTGGGAACTCCCTCACCAGCGGCAGCAAGAAACAGTGGTGGCGGCCGATCTCCTGTTGCACGGAAGGCTTCTTAGAAGTAGAAGTTCACAATGGGCAGTTAGGATTGGGCTTGCGACTCATGCATCGACCTTGCATGTGTCCTTCACAGTAGCGTAGGAAATTTCGTTTTGCAACTGGATCACTCTGAACCCCTTCGGCAGCTCGTTGCCGAGGATCATGGCCCTTCCACGCTCGGAGAGGCCCGCTTTGATCTCGTCAGCAAGTCGATCCTTGCAAAACGACCCACACACCTTCAAGCTTACAGAAAGCGACGACAACCGTGCAAGCAAGCTGCAACAAGTTCGAAAGTCCAGGGGACCGAGCCAGGACCTGTGTGATAAGAGCAGATATTTCAAAGTTTCAAGAAGTTGTCATAAACGCTGCTATGGCACGTGTGGATCTCCAACGTGTTTCATCAAGCTCTGGCTCGACATCCCATTGCACTATCTGCAACTGTCGCATCGTGCTACGACGGCGCGAAGACTAAAGCAGTTGCACCGTAAAAACAACTGCTGCACAAGCCAAATGCTTGCGCCGTTCGCACAACATCAAAACGAGTCTTGCGCAGCAAGTTTGATGCAGCTCTGCGTCCACAACTGCGAACAGCACAAAAAATGTGCAGCGACTGTGCCTCCTCTGCCATTGATAACGTGGCTTCGGGCCACGCGCATGTACATGTGTCTGTATGCATTTAAACGATGACCTGTTGAATATATATGTATAGAAGATGTATAGACCTTCGAGAACGTACTCTATCCATCCTGTCTCCCTATATCTCTCGCTCTCCCCCCTCTATTCTTCTTTTTTTCGTGCCGGACCATGTCAGGCCGCCGCAAACATGCTGCTTTTCATGCTGCATGCGCGTAGCAGTTTTTCGACCCTGGAGCAACGGTGCATGTCGCATCATAAGTGCATCGAACACATAATTGCCGGCGATGTAAAGTTACAAACATTATGCTTGATGTACAAAACGTTATACGCCATGTACAAGACATTATACGCTGCGTACACAGCTTACGCTACATCTAACAGCTGCGGAGGCGTGCAGCTGTTAAATGTTACGCAGCCGTTCTTTGGACAGCTGCGGGCCCCAACGGAAGGGCATTGAAGTCGCCAACCACCAGCAGCGGGGATCTTTCCCAGTGGGTGGAGATCCTGTTGTTGAGTGCTTGCCAAAATTGGTCTCTGCATTGCTGCTCCCGTTGGTTGTGAGGGGCGTACACTGCCAGTATTGTGAGGGGGGCCTCGACTGTGTCGATGGTGAAGGTGAGAAATCTGCCATCGATGCAAGTGAGGTCGGTGATTGTGGGTGTGAGGTGTGGGGCCGTGATCAGCGATACCCCTGTGAAGGTCTGTGTGGGGTTGCCTTTGTTGTCGTATTCCTCCGTGGCGCTGTGAGTGATGGTGTAGCCGTCGATCATAAATTGATCGGGTTGCTTCATGTGGGTCTCTGTGAGCACCAGCCAGCTGAAGCGATGCTTTCGCATGATATCGATCAGCGTGTGCAGTTTTGCTGCTTCCAGGAGGCCTGTGGTGTTCCAGAAGGCACCTCGGAGAATCTGGTGGGGGGGTGTTTGGAGGTCGTGTTTGGTTCTCCCCTTCTTGCTGGGCTGGGCAATGTGGGTCTTGAACCAATGGGCTCTGGTGTGCTGGCGGTGGCGTGTGTCATGTCTGCTTTGCCACTGTTTGCGGCTGTGAGGGGCTGGGCTGGGGTCTGTGCGAAGGTGGTTGGGTGTGCTGTTGTTTTGCGTAGGGTCTGCAGAAATCGCCGGAATCTGTGACATCTGTGGTGGGTATTCTGGCTGTGGGCTGTGTGGCTGCTGGGGTCTTCGGTTGCCGGATCTGGCTGCTGCTGTGGCTGCTGTTGGTTTCCAGCTGCAGCCAGGTGTGAGAGAGATCTGCTCGTGAGGTCGTATAAAGGCTTTTGGTGGGGCTGAGCCAGGGAGCCATTATCCTGGATCAGCGCTGTGGTGTTGGTGGGTGTGAGGGCTGCACGCCAGCTTCGGTAATGTCGCCGATGTGCGGCTCTGTTGGTGATGCGTTGCTGTGCTCGGCGTTGTCGGGCGTCCTTGCTGCGGAGCCCCCGCCTGTACTGTGAGCGTGTCTTCTGTGGCTGTTGCTTGTGTGGAATTGCGGTGTGTGGAAGTTGGTGGGTGGAAGGTGAACTTGCACTTCGTCGCCGAAAGGCACATTCCTCGATCCCGAAAAATCCGAACATATTACGGAACTGTGAGAGAAAACAAAGGAAAAGGGATAGGGATGGCTCAGGGCACCCGGCTCGCCTATGGGAGGCGTGCTTGCATGCAACAAACTAATTCGCTCCCTTTCTTCCTCCTGTGCGGTCGCAGTGTCGTTCTCTGTGAGAGGTCCACTGAAAAAGCACTCTGTGCTGGAAGATCGGGCTCCTGTGCGCCTGCCAACTTTTCAAGCCGAGAGCCTTGGCCGAGGGCGGCCTGTGAGAGCTGAGGCTGCCGCAGAACCCAGGTGCTTCATCTTCTTGCCCTTGACCCAATCCACCCACTGCTCGGTGGAGTACTTCGAGATGTCATAGCCCAGGTTGATCTGGGTGATCTTCTCGTTCTCCACTTCCTGGTCGAGCTCGTCCCGTGAGTCGAACGGGTAGTAGGGCTCCTTGGTGGTGTCGGGCTCGCCGCTCGGCTCCATGCTGTCGAAGGTACCCTCCGTGCCTTCTGAGTGCTGCCTGTGTTGGCCCTGTGAGAGGCCCTGTGAGGCAAAGGTGACCAGGGACTCGCCGGCGGCAACCTCCGTTTCCATAGCCTGGTCTGCCGCCATCTCCGCCATAAGCTCGTCGACGGGGCGAAGGTCCTGGAAGAACTGGCGGTCGGGGTGGTCCTGTGAGAGGCCAACAAAGGTGAGCTCCCACGGGTACTCGAACTTAAAGCGAGCCACCCAGTTCTCGATGCCCTGTTCCTTGTAGGCCGGCACCGCTTTGGTCAGCAACCGGTTGAGCCTGGCTGCCGCGGAGTACTCCTGTGAGGTTCGCTGGGCCGCTGTGGAGTAGGCCGCTTTCTCCACTTCCGTCTGTGAGATCTGCTGCTTGAGCTGATCATACCAGACATCCCTCCAGGCTGTGAGGATGCGGTCCTTGTGCTCGGCCGGAAGCTGCACTTCACAAGCCCAATCGGCGACCGTGCCCGCCGTGCCTGTGAGGCTGTGAGCTTTGCGGCTGTAAAGGATGCGACCCAACCAGGCGCCTTCCTTATCCTCCAAGACAAGGGTCTTCCAGCGTGGAGTGAGGGTCTCCTTCTTGAAGCGAGCAAACAGCTTCTGGTAGGCATTCATCAGGCCATGCATTGGAGCTCCCAACCTTCTTTCGAACTGGGTGATGCCCGGCGCCATCTTGATCGGGAGGTTCCAGCTCCACGTCCGCATCTCCCACTTCTTAGGTGGGGCCTTCTGTGAGGTCTGTGAGTCCTCACCCATCTTCTCGTCGTCGGCGGCTGTGGCTGTGGCTGTGGGAGGGTCCGTGCTGGCCGACCCTGGCGTGGCAGCCGTCTGTTCGGCTTCGCCCTCGGCTGCTTCTTTGGGCTTCTCAGACTTCTCACCTTCCTCCTTTATCTCATGCCAGTAGCGAACCACGGCCCGAGAGCAGGCGTCCATGACCTTTTTCCTGGCGGCATAGGTCGGGACTGTGAGGATGGAGATCGGGGCCAGGAACTTCTTGCCGTCGTTGCCCTCCATGGTGGTGGTGGTCAGGTCCCACTCCAGGTAGGAAAGGCCATTTTCCTTGAGAGCCTCTGCCACTGTGAGCTCCCGATCGGCCGCTGTTGCCCAGTCTGGGAAGTTCCTCACCACCAGCGTTCTCTTGGCTGCCTCGGTCTTTTTCGGTCCATGCCGTGCGGATCTTCAACATCCTGACCTCGTGCTCCAAGGTGTTGATCTTGGTGGCATGGTTGACAAGCTCGGCACCGACCTGTGAGAACGCTGCCTGCAGGGCGGGGCCGACCTTCTGTTGCAACGCCTCCGTGATCAGGGCGGCACACTCCTCACGGGACACCGGCTGTGAGGAAGCCGCTCCTTGGGGCAGCTGCACTTCCCAGTCTTGGGGGCGAGCCACCGGTGCCGCAGTCGACAGCACCGACGGGCCATCTCCTGTGAGCAAGGCATCATGCTGTGAGATGCGTTGCTGCATCGCGGCGATCACCTCAGCATTCTTGTCGTTGGCTGCGCTTTGCTCTGCTCCTTGCACTCTCAATGCTTCAAGGCCAGCAGCTACCGCGGAGAGCTGCGAGAGATGAGGCTGCCATGGCGCCTGTGAGGTTGCAGGAGAGAGAAAGGGCCTGCGTAAAAGCTTGAGCACTGGTGAGCCTACGTCAATAATATGCAGCATCTAAATGAGATCAAACAATCAGCCAGAAATCGTTAAGGACTTTTTGCTGCATAACATGAAGTTGATACATCGGGACGCTGTCCCAAAAGGCCATCTGCATGTCGTCATTTTTGCTTGGGAAGTGTGGTGCCAAGTTTTGAATTTTACTCATGAAGATAATGTATCCTCCATGACTGGTGAACCTGTCTCACTGCCCTAGTGTACGTCTACTCGTGCCTTTTGCATTTTCAAAAGCCTGTCGGGAGCCCTCCTGCGCTCGTCAGAAAATTCGGCAAGCTTTGCTCCCCTACCCAGGCGTGCGAGAGTAAGCTCACCAAGCAATGGAGATAGACAAGGGAAGCCCAACAACATTGCTTTTCCACAGGGGGAAGGCAGGGCGTGCGGAAAAATCCGGGCTCGGGCAAGAAGCCCTTTAAGGCTGGTGCCTGCAAAAAAAAAGCAAAAAGGGTCCAACGCAAGCGCAACTGACTTCCAGCAAAACCTCCTCAGACTGAGGACTGACGCACAGCTGTAGGGCGAGTTAGCATTCTGGAAGGCGTCCTCCCAAGTACCCGTATCTCAACAGTAGCTCCTTAAAAACTGATGGCAAGAGTATGCAGGAGTCCTGTCAAGTCTGACAATTAAGTGCATGGAGCTTGCGGCAGCGGAAAGCAACGAGCGAGAAAAAACCCTAAAGCAACCTAACCCTAAGATTCTGAACAAATACAGCCGACCTTAAGCCCTAAAGCCGAAACCTTAAAACCGACCATAATCCCAAAAACTGTAACCGTAACCCGAAACCCTGGACCTGAACTCAACCCAAGTCCCCAACCCTTCATGCGTTGCCTGGCGCTGCTAGACCCTCTGGATGCAACGGCAGAGAGGTACAGAGAGAGAGGGAGAGAGAACCCTACACCCTAAAGCAACCCTAAGATTCTAAACGCCTTGCAACCGACCGGAACCATACAACCGACCCTAGCCTGGTTTGTCCAAGGGTGAGCGCCGAAAACCGACTCTATCCCCAAAAGCCTGACCCTAAACCCGAAACCTTGGACCCTAAATAAAGCCTAAGCCCTAAAGCCTTTGCCTTCAATTCATTGACCTTCAACCCAAGCCAACCAAAATCCCTCGACCTTGAGCTCTGAACCGTGAAACTTGAAACCGACCCGGGAGGACCCAAAGCTCTGAACACAAATCCTCAAACTTTTATAAACCTTAAACTCTAAACCTGACCCTTACCCCAAAACCAGACCCTAAACCCGAAACCCTGGACCCTAAACCCTAAAGCCTAAACCCATTAATCTCGGCCCAAAAGACGAAAAAGAAGGCGGTCACAGATGACCGCTGTTGTTTTGTGGTGGTTTTTGCGGGAAATCACGCGCCTGCTAATGTTGGGGGGCATTTTGTGATCAGCTGATGTGTGGTGATGCGAGGCGGAGGTAGTCACAAATGACGGGGTTTCGTCGACTAAAGACCAAAACCCGAGGGAGTCCCAAATGACAGGATTTAGGGAATCACGTATGACAGGATTGCTTGCACTTGCGCATGCGTCGACAGCGAACGTTCAGTTTTCTGCCGTTGAGGCAGCCAAAGCAAGAGCCAGAGCCTTAGGCATTGAAGCTGGTCCCCAATTTGGAATTGTGCAGGAGCATCATGTCGGGCGATTCCGCTTCTGTGGATGTCGGCGTAGACTCCTCGCATGTTCTCCGTTCTCCCAGGCATCACGGGGCGCAAGTAGGCATTGATCGGTGCAACCCCCACAGCCCACAGCCCGCCGACCACAGCAGCACCGAAGCAGCAAAGGCGCAGATAAATGCCGGGTTTGAAAACCAACCTCCCGCACCGATGCGTGATACTTCCTCGAGCTTTTCTCCGTCAATGGTTGCAACAAGCAGCATGAGTCATTCACTTGTGCCTTTGGCACATGGGGCGGTTTCACACGTGCCCAGTCTTGTCAGATGCGAATCACGACCTCATTGCCTCTGCAGGGGCAGAGCAGGGATGCTTTGGTATTCTGCTGAAAGAGTTTTCTGGTGGACTTCGTTGCAAGTATTAGCCTCATGGCTTCAGTCGCGAGGTGCAGAGGCGGCGATCAGTTCAATGCCATTAGACAATACTTCAGTAACTTTGCAGCGATGAGCCTGGGGCATTAAGGGGATTCCAGAAGCCGTGAACGAGACAGAGATCCTGAAAGCTGCTCGGCTTAAGCCACCCGGATGTTTCTGCCGTTGCTCACTTCCATCACAAGCTTGCGCTGCTCATGCTGGCGTTGCTGCCAAGGAGAGCGGGATGGACGACGAGAAAAGCGCGATCGAGGCCGCATGTTGGTGATGATGCACGTAGAAAATTGTCGAAGCTTGCCTGGCCTTGACTCATGCTCTGTGTCTTTGAGGTGGCAGCCGTGATCGTGACAAAGACCGTGAGAAGGAAAAAGATGGCAGTGGCAGCCGTGGACGCGACAAAGACCGCGAGAAGGAGCAAGACGGCAGTCGCAGCCGAGATCGCGACAAAGACCGCGAGAAGGACAAAGATCGCAGTCGTAGCCGCGATCGTGACAAAGACCGCGAAAGGGACAAAGATCGCAGCCGCAGCCGTGAACGCGACAAAGACCGTGATAGGGACAGAGATCGTGACAGAGGACCGCATCTGCCCATGGCCTTACTGCAGTAGCTTTTGTGCTTGACGGGTCGTTACACAGGAAGTAGTCGCCAACGCGATCGAGACCGAGACAGGGGCGGCTCGACATCCCTGATGCTTACAATATGTCATGTGAACTCGTCCTTGCTAGGTAGGAGGGAAAAACAACATGTCATGCCTGTGTGTCAAGTATTCGCGACATATTGTCATTGAAGGAACTTCACGGGGACGAGACCAAGATAGTAAGGGCCTCAGCTTTGGTTTATCCAATTTATCCAGGTTGCAGAAAACGAGCGAAACATGATGCGACCGCGACGGCTTTGTTGGGAGCGCTGCAAGGCAAATTCTGGCAGGCTGAATGCAGTACCGATTGCAGAAAATACTTGTAACGGGCCTCTCACTACCTAGACTTGCGTGGTTCGCAAGCTTATTGAGACATTGCCAGGAGATCGCGACAGAGGCGATCGCAGAGACCGTCGGGATCGTTGGCCGCTTATGAGCGGACACAACAGATCTGCACTGCGAACGCAGATCGCCCAGGCGATGCACGTGATCGCGATCGTGACAGAGGCGATCGGCGAGATCGAAGGTCACGGTCGAGGCCATAGCTCAGCCGGCAATGGGCGATCTGGGGAATTTGTTACCACCCTTCATTTGATAAAATGATTGTCGCAAGCTGTCCGCCCCTTGCCTCCCCAACCCTGTTATACTGACAGGCTGCAGGTATACTGCTTGGGGCCCGCAACATATGAAGCAGTCTGTGTATACAGTTTGACAGCCTGCAGCAGCTTTTAGCATGTATAGCCGGCCAAGAGACTCTGATGCGAATGTTATTTTTGGCGCTAACATTGCTGTCTACTCGCAACTTGTGCAAAGTCTTGCGCGGTTCCGCAATGCTCGCAAATCGATTGGCGACCGCTGACCGAAGCACTGACTCAAAAGCATCAAGTACCTGTTGACAGTAAGTGCCCGCACATGCTAGCACAGTTTGTGTTGATCGCCAGGCCAATCATCTGTTCGGAAAGATTCGGAAAGCTAATTCGGCTTTGCCAACCAGGCCTTTCAATACCGAGCAGAAAGGAAAAGAACGGACGAGACGCGACAAACAATGAGGCCACAAACTGTGAACCACATGGACAGCACAAGTTGTTGACTCGATGGACAACCGGCCTTCCGTATGCCGTCCTGAGGTCACCGAGGCGGTCGCCAAGACGATCACCAAGGCGGTCGCCACGGCGTTCGCCACGACGTTCGCCACGGCGTTCGCCACGGCGATCTCCACGGCGGTCTCCGCGGCGGTCTCCGCGGCGATCTCTGCGGCGGTCTCCGCGGCGGTCAGCAAGGCGATCTCCCAGGCGATCTCGGTCTCCTCGCCGCCGTTCGCCACGTCGCAGAAGCCGCCAGGGGCTTGTCTAACGTCAATACTTGAGTGCCGCTGTGCAAGCCCAGGTGATCAGGGCAACGACAGAGGAAAGGATGGCGACAAACGTGCCGCGCCCAGGACATGATCCCGAGAGTATCGAGTCATGTAAGTGGCATGTGGAACCTCTTACAGAACTTACAGGTCGAGAACGCGATGGTGGTAGCCCGAAGGGTCGGGGCGGTGCCAAGGTGAGTTGGAAACTGCACGCGCAGTTTGCAGGTTGAGAACTGATGTATTATATATTTGTGCTTGTACTCTTCACCCCTTCAGCGGTTCGGTGGGTGGGAGGCAGCACGGCTCGCAGCTCTCGAGTCCATCAAAAGGTGTCTTGGTCAAGAGATTGCAACGCTTCGGTGCGCTAAGTAGTAGCATGTAGTAAAGGTACGAGCAGTTGCCACTTGTTCTTTCAAGCTTTTGCAAGCTGCATAGCATGAGGAAGCGCGTTAAGAGCGGAAGTGGCAGCAAGAGCAGTCCAAGTCCCAGACTTCGAGACATCAGTCTCCGAAGCATCTCGCAATATAACATGATTAGCAGAAGTCCGCGCCAGCATCATGCGAAGTCGGTGCCCGAGGCAGCCGCAGCAGCAGCGCGGCACTCTCAGCGATCTATTCTATCTGCCATTTGGTCAGCCTGTGGAGTGAGCTGATCGGCAAATAACCGACCCTGTGCACTCGCCCAGTCCAGCAGCTCAACAGCAAGCGGCGAGAAGAAGAAGCAGAAGAAGGGTACGTGCTTCATAGCGGTGCTGTGACAGATGTTAGAAGTTGGCTTGCCAAATCTGCTGTAGGCGCGAACGACGCCAATGGCGACGTGATCGAGGTCATTGAGGTCAGAGACAAGTCGGCTTTGTCAGGGTGCTGATCGGTTTTGGTTGTGCTTGTTGGCTGCTTGTTCCGGCGAGTGTTTCTAGCTTCAAAGGCTTTCCCCACGTCCTTTAACCTTTAACTTCAGACCTGCGGTGTTGGCAGTTTGGCCCTCCAGGACGCCAAACCGCTTCCTCCGTCCACAGCAGCTGTCATTGCTGCAGAGATGGAGGCACCAAAGGGATGGCACAGCAACAG